TATATAAAATATTCCAGGAATTCATGTGTAAAAATGGCTTACCCAGTTTGACTAAAACCAGTGACGCAGTTCTCCTGTAAAATTATTTACAGTGACACTTTGTTAGGAAATTATTTCCCAAAGTTACAGTTTCAGAGTTAAACTAAAAGTCTGGAGTAATAAAACTAGCAGACTAGGTCCAGAGTGACAGTTTCCTCTAAAGTTGCAACATTTCAAAATGTATTTCTATTTTCTGTGAACTCTTTGTACACATTTCTTTTCAGATGATTAATCTTAGACACAGGAGCTGAAAAGAGGATCTTCTCAGGACAGTCCTGATGAGAACGTTTCCCTGCCGTGTCCTCGTGTCTCTTCATCGTCGCCATATCTGTTACTATATGGTTGGAAAGGGAAGATGCTCTCAAATTCCTTAAGGGCTGTCCAGCACAATCCTATTCATCATCACCACCTGGGCGACACTCAGCTTTACTCTGACTCTTCCATAGTCATCTTTTTTTTTCTATTTTTGTTCATCTCAGCTCTGTAACTGATTGAGTCGATGGCTACACATTCCCGAACAGCGGAGTCTCTGTGCGGCTGAGTTGAGTTATTCTGCAGAACATTTCATGCCCTCAGAAAACCTTTTTGTGGTTGTCTGTGTTTTTTTTTTTTGTTGTTTTTTTTTTTCCATGAACCTCAGAGATGTGTCTTAATATTTTCTATTTTTCTTACTCGCTAAAATGTAATACAAACTCCAAAGAAAACAAAACAAAAAAAAACATTTGAACTTGAATGAAGTTTTAACATTACAAATACTGCAAATGTTGTTTTTGAAGCATAAGATTGACAACTCATTATTTTGAGAGCTTGGAAGGGTTTATAAAAAAATTTAAGAAATTAAAATTGTAGAATTGTAATCTGTCTTCCAAAAGTGTTCATGCCGTCTTGAACAACTGACTTAGGCTTTGGTCAGAGGGAAACCAAGCCTACTTGCAGTAAACTACATGTGACAGAAGAGTAACGCTGCTTATTCCCCACAATGAAACCTGGAGGTAGAAACATCATGTTTTGGAAGGTTTGTTAGAGATTAAATGGGGCAACGATTTACTGAGCTTGTGCTGTTTTTGCATGGAAAAAATGGGCAAACGCTTCAGTGTTTGCAACATGACAAAATAATAAAAAGTTCAAAGGTCATGAATACTTTCGTAAGGCACTGCATACCAAATGTGTTCCACAGCATTTTTTTTTTATTTTTTTTTTATTTTATAAGGTTCGTATGTTTTTTGTTAAATGTTAAATTCTCCGGTCAGATGGCTGGAATCAATTTCAAAAGCCTTTTAGTTGCCCCTGAAAGAATGTGTGTCCTGCTGCTCACTGTGCAGTCGGGCACTTTCTGTCTCAACGCCGTAAAAAAATGACTTGAGCACTTCAGGTTAAACAGCTCAAAGGATCTCTCTGTTCTTTAAAACTCTCTCTCACTCTGGACCAAACACACAGAAACATCAAAGCATAAAAGAAAACGCATTGATGCTTCTAGTTGATCTTTTTTTTTGTTTGTTTTTGCATTTTTAACTGGCTTTTTATTAGCAAAGCTATGACTGGAAGCAGTATAGTTACTGAAGCGAATGATTTGCATTTTTTCTTGTTTATTGATGGATGTAAGACATGGAAGTCGTCAGAATTACGTTAGGAATAACATTCCTGCCCGCTGAAGGCTTTCAATCACACAAAAATACTGTATTTCAGCGAAGACACATGAAAACCACCATATCTAAAATAACTGTAAAAGAATAAATAAATGACTGAAAAAGTAACCATGGAGTCTCTCTGTCACCGTTTTTGAAGCTTTATGCTGTATGTCTCTAACTGGATTCAGACAAACATCAAATTCCTCCCTGTTGTACCAAATCTGCCTACCAGATGCTGATTTTTTTTTGTTTTTTTGTTTTTTCTGTTTCATCTAAGCCAGAGCACTGAGGGTGGATCTTCGGAAATGGTGAAAAAAAGATGCACCCATATGTTTTCAGAAACTTACACCATGCCTTTCTCAAGTAATGCAAGTAATTGATGGTAACGTTTGATTTCCTGCACGAAAAGCACGTGTGGTATTTAATTTAGCGCTTGTGGAACCAGTCAGCTGTAGAAATAATTCTTGATTGCGTTAGCCAGGCTACTCAAGTTAGGAATTTGTGTAAAATAAACTTATGTGTGCGACATTACAGAGAGGTATGCGTGTCGTATATCATGTGTATATTTTGGATCAACTACATTTTGCTTGAGGAATGCAGCAGGGCAGATCACGCTCCTGGTGGTGGCGTTTGGTTCTGCCACTGTAAAAAGCTGCTCTCGCTCAATCTATAGCAGTCACTAGCATGACTACTTGTGTGACAGAGGAAGAGTTTAATAGTTTTAATCTCAGAGGTTTTGTGTGGGCCGCAACTGCCAGACACTATTGCTGAAAGAAAAAATGTCCACACTGCAAGACCGAAGTTTTTTCCACCAATGGGGAATTTATAAGCAGCTATAATCTCAGCTTTTCACCTTTCACATCATTCCGCTGGGGAAAATATAAAAGGTCCCATTAATCACTGGCATTTTTTGGTATTTTCATCATGACATTTTGCTGAGTAGCAGCACATCCAGAAGAATGCTTGGAAAAGATTTATTAAAGAACATTGTGTTAGACATCATCAAAGTAAAATTATATCTCGGCCAGTCAGGTCACGGCATTACTTGCAAAATTTATTGGATTTGTAGCATCCGTCCATCCATTTTCTTACACCATTGTCCCTTTTGATTTGTAGCAGCAGCTTATTATTTTTACAGTGATGTAACAAAAAATGAGTTAAATTAGAAAAGAATCCCAGCTTGAATTTTTTTATCTTCCTCTATTTTTTGTTTCTAACTTCACATCTCCTCTTTGCGCCGGTCCAGACCAGCTCAGCATCGCTTCGTTTTTATTTTACACAGAGCCGTCACTACAATTATTCACTTTTTTTCCGGATAGGAACCTTGGTAAAAGTGCACTTTTACCACCTCGACTCTTCCGATCTTACTCAAGCGCCTCTGCATCAAAACCAGACATGATCATAGCAAGTCTGACTACTGCAAACCTTCTCTTTCATTCCTCTGCCCTCCGTCTGTCACTTTTTTTTTCCACCTCCTGTGCATTTCCTGTTTCTTGGACCCCTGAAGCGCAATCTTATCTACCTTTATAATCTTCACTCGACGCAGCTTCTTTGTTGCACCTTTTCCCTTCTCGTTCACGTATATCTTTAGAATAAAGTTTCTTATTAGGTGAATGAGACAGAAATGAATGACACTGCATCTTATGTGGTGCATTAAGATTACAGGACAGCAGCTTTGCCACATTAACGACCTAATCATCTGAATCTGGTTCTAGCACACTTGAAGACAGTTCAAACCTTTTAAATAAAAGTTATAATTGATTTCATTGTTGGTCATCGTTGATTTACAATTGATCGGGGGAGCAGAGTAGTTCTACAACAAATGGAGTGATGTCAAACATCAGACATGTTGGCATTTTGTGGGTCAGTTTCACTTTGTATAATGGAATATCTGCCACATCGCAGTACTCAAAACAAGAATAATCAGCCTAAACTAGAACCTGGTGGCAAACTGAGACCAGATCAGTATCATCTACGTATCGACTGCACAAGGAAACGTGTGAGCAAATGTTTTTTTTTTTTTTCAAAGATGTGGTGTGAAAAGAAGTTAATCAGGGCTCCCAGTGAGGACTGGGGACACAGCTTCAAATCTACCATGAAGACGCAGATATGTGTCTCTGCTGCTCTGTATTTTTTGTTTGTTTGTTTTTTTACAATAGAAACCACAAATATTTTACAAAATACAAAAACATTATCAAGATTCTACCAGTGTTTCTGTTGCTGTTCTTCTTTATTCTTCTAAAATCTCAGAAACCTATTCTCAACCTATTCTCATTATTTACGTCTTATGAAGTAAAACAAACAAATTTATCCAATAGAAATGTTTTTCTTATAACTTACAGTCTAATCTTGACAGAGTTTCCTGTGTCTCAGTTTGTCAAACTGCAACAAAAGTTAGCTAAGCAACTAACTAAATGCCTTTGGCATCATGAATCCAGAAAAATGACAAATATCCCAGGCAGAGTTAGGCTTAGAATTATTTTTACTCAAGCTAAAGGTTTGTTTTTGATAAAAAATTTAAAAAAAGGACACAGACATCTAAGAAAAGACAGAACTCAAATGAGTATCAACAACTCTTCTTATTTACAGCTTCATAAAAAGGGTTGGGAGAAAATGTATTTATATATTTCTCAATAATCAAAGGAAAAATTATCATTGGCATTATTGGTGGTGAGCTCTGACTCTTTCATGTTGGAGGTCATCCTTCCCAGTCTCCAGCTCCCACCACAGATCATCAACCGAATGTGGATTGTTAGACCACCTCAAGAAGTTAATGATACTTCCAGTCAAATGTTGGTCAAACGGGGGTATGAATAATTTTGACTTTATTTGTAACAATAGTATCATATTAAATAACTAAAATGTACCAAACCTTTCTTGTTAGCCTTTTGTGTACATTTCTATTGTTTTGTAAGTATTACAGGATGCCTGTGTATGCTGATTGTTTCTGCAATAAATTATTTGAGTGGTCTTAAATATTTTGTATCTTTCAATATAAATTTGACCAACTCTTTTGTGATTTTTTTTTAGCACCTACACAATCAGGTACTTAGCTGTCACCTGGTTAAGTCGCTCGTTTCACCACACACACAAAAAGGAAAAAAAAAAACATTCGACCTTCAACTTCCTGTAATCTTGAGCCAAAGCACTCAACTGTGGTTTACAAGTTAGGGAAATTTGTGTCAATGCAGCCATGATGACACACTGAATGTTATACAGGAAATGTGTGACAGAATGGCTTTATGTGTGTTTTTCTTAAAGTCGCTGAAGTGATGTAACATTTCTGGCATTTAATAATATTAAGTAATGGTAACGTACAACATATATTTGTTAAAAAGTAATGCTTTCAACATTTCAAATCCTATAATTACATAAAATGATGAATACACAAGAAAACACTATCCTTTGATGCCTCTCGTGTCTACTTTCAATGTAACAGCTTCATGACCACAACCCTCTTTCTGCACACCGTTCCATGACGCTTCCACACTATTTTGAATGCCTCTAAGTTATTCTTAGCCAGTGAAAAATACTCAACTTTTAAGTCACATTGATAACAGCGTAATTTGTCTTTGTGTCTTGTTTACATGTGTAGTTTCTGACTGTTGTCCCACGCTGTAGGGGGTTGATGACGGCGTACACTTCACTGTTAGGCGCTTCTGTTTTCACTGTTGTGTATGTAACAGCCAGCTGGCTCCCAGTGAGAGCGAGAGCAGGTGATGCTGAAGCTGTTCTTTCTGGTTGTCTTGTAGAATAGATGTCGTTCAGAACTGAGAACTGAGTTCGCAGGCCGGGAGGAGAAGGGGCGCTCGCTTTGGGGAGTTCTGGTATCATATGCGTAGATATTTCCTGCTAGAGGGAAATAACATTTTAAAAAATACTTTACTTTATATGAATATAATAAACTGTACAACCACTTCAATGTGAAGAGAGTCAAGATGATCTTAAACTCTCAATAGAAAGGGTTTTTCTCTGCTTCTTTCTACCTGCATTTGGATGTTTCATCTAAAATCTACCAAAACTTTTTTTAGACATAGACGGGTGTTTTCATCTACCTTTATTTGAAG